CCCCATCTCAATCCCGTTTGACTTTAAGGAATTATTTCAACAACCCTGTTAATCATTATAAAATAAATCCTACATGACTTTGTACTCAAGATCCTGCACAAAGTGACTTGAAGCAACCACATGCAATGTGTAATGGCGCAAAAGGCTGCCTGCCCCTTCTTCTGCGTCAATTCCTCCTTTGGGGAAAATTTTATCACCACTGCACCTGACAAATGCTGTTTCAACGTAAAGTCAAGTGCTTCCACCAGCCAGGAAAAGCATGCCTCACTTGGGCTGTCTCAGTTCCTATAACTTTCAGAGCATTTTGTCCTAACTTCTCTCCTGTATGATTCGTGTCCTTCCCAGCCCTCATCTCCTTCTTTCAGAATGGGGAGTGGAAGGGAGATGGCACTAACAATCACAGAAATGTAACTGTGAGCGTGCACGCCTGGAGGCGCATGCATGTGTCCGTGTGCATGTAACACTGAGCATGCATGCCTGGAGGCGCATGCATGTGTCCGTGTGCATGTAACTGTGAGCGTGCATGCCTGGAGGCGCATGCATGTGCCGTGTGCATGTAACTGTGAGCGTGCATGCCTGGAGGCGCATGCATGTGTCCGTGTGCATATAACTGTGAGCGTGCATGCCTGGAGGCGCATGCATGTGTCCGTGTGCATGTAACTGTGAGCGTGCATGCCTGGAGGCGCATGCATGTGTCCGTGTGCATGTAACTGTGAGCGTGCATGCCTGGAGGCGCATGCATGTATCTGTGTGCATGTGCGCATCCTGGAACACATATGTGCCACATGTTACATTTAATAACCAGAGAAAGCAGCCCACTGGGTTTTGCTTTGTTGGTTGTTTTTTTTTTTTTTTTTGCTTTAATGTATCCGGCCATAACACCCAAGTTCTAAAACCTGCTCGACAGTGTGCTCTGAACAGTTAGATGAGCAAGGAAAAGACTGCCTGGGGAAGGAACTGAGGGCTGCACAGGGACCCGAAGCAAAAAGCTTTAGAGATCTTTGTGTTCTCGCTGCATGTGGACGTATCCAGAAGTGCTGACCCACTTTCCTGATGCTGCGTCCTTTGTCTTGCTTCTGCACAGCTTCTGTAAAGCACCCTCTAATTTATTGGATCCTTGCAAGGACTCACTTTCTGCTTTCATATTCTGCTCCTAGATTTCATTCCTTTTTTTGTAAAGTGAAGTTAAGACCAAGGTCCCTAGTTCCAAAATTTATTATCTCACATAAACACTCTCTACCGAATTGCAGATGCCATTTGTACCCAAGAGACGGAACAATCCCCTTAAAGAATAAATTGAATTCTCTTCTATCTCCCTCCTCTATCATCAAGAAGCCATAAATTCTCAGTACTAGCCACAACAGAAGGGAAATGGAGGCTCTGTGCCTTGAAATATCAAAGTTACTTCTGAGATTGAATTGGAATTTCCCTCCTAACTGACACTCCAGCATGACTTTGATTTTTTTTTTCCATGTGGCTATCTCTTTCTGGTTGACATGACCCTCAAACTACAGGGTAATTAAGAAGGACTGGCTAACGTGTGCTTTCTTTAACCTGATGGAAATGGGCCATTTGTTTTTAGAGATAGTGGAGACAGAGACAGATTGAGGAGTAATCCAGAATATGAAAGCATGCTAGGGTTGGGGGTCAGCAGCTCACACCTATAATCCTAGCTACTGAGATCTGAGGCTGGCGGTTCCAAGCCAGCCAGGATAGGAAAGTCCGCAAGACTCTTATCTCCAATTAATTATCAAAAAGTCAGAGGTGGAAGAGTGGCTCAAGTGGGAGAGTATTAGCCTTTAGTGAGAAAGCTAAACTAAAGTAGAACATTCGGACCCAGTGTTGGCACAAAATAAACAATGTCAACAGCAAAAACTCCATGCCATACAGGCTCTATCCTATGTCTATTGTTATTACCTTATTACTGATCTCACTGAGAACTAAGGAGGTACTAGACAAAATTGAAAGGCATGTTATATATAGAATATTTCAGTCCATCCTCATCCAAGTCCCTTTGAAAGATAAGACACAGCATGAACAGATTAACTTCCTGTCCACAGCTGGCTAAGGGGTGGGACAGAATTCCAACAAGGTATTACAAACTAAAGAGTTTGTTTCACCTTTAGTGAGAGAGTTCATGGTGCTTTTTCTTCATTAAAAGGACAACATGCTCATTAAAGAAAAATCTAAAGCAGGAAAAGAAGAGACTCCATAGAATCTCCCTCCAACATCCATGTGTTCCAAAACCACATCTTGGCCCTTTTTCTTTTAATAATCAAGACACATAGCCACGATGCTTTATAAGATATCATATCTCTCTGGATTCCACAATTGCAGGATTTCGTAATGAGCATTACCTCTGGGTGTGTTATAGTTTTATAGTTTCTTAAAAAGGCAGTAGATGTCGTGCTCACGCCTGTCATCCTAGCTACTCAGGAGGTTGAGATATGATGATCATAGTTCCAAGCCAGCCCAGGCAGGAAGGTCCATGAGACTCTTATCTCCAATTAGTCATCAGAAAACCAGAAGTGGCACTGTGGCTCTAGTGGTAGAGCACTTCCTTGAGCTGAAGAGCTGAGGGACAGCGCCCAGACCCAGAGTTCAAGCCCCATGACCAACAAAAAAAAAAAAAAGGCAGTAGATGGTTTACTAAGCTAATTTCTTTCCCTTTAGGTTATTTCAAAATTAAGCAATGCTATTATAAATATCCATATGCTTAAAATATTTTTATAAAGCCTGGACCAGAGTTTTAGATACATTCCAGTAAGTTAATGATTCAGAGTGTGTGAATATTTGTGATACAGTGACCTTCAATGCCAGGTGGCTTTCTAAACATTGCAACAGTCCCCACTGCTGCCAGCAAACAGACGTCCAGGCTGCTCAAGACCACCTTCCTGGAAGGCTTTACTCATGCTAGGAGCTGTCCTTATTGCCCCCAAAGCAAAGACCAGGATGGAGGTCCTCATGCCCCACAATCTTTTGCTTTCCTCCCTCCATCCCAAGAGATACAATTATTCTTCCCATTTCCATCACTGGAATTTTGGTTATGTCACTTTCCAGGTAGTGACGATTGTCCCATATAGAAAGACAACCTGCACAGTGAACTGTTCAATATTTCCTAGAAGCAACAGTTGTCTTGGCTTTTTTTTTTTGATTGTTGAGTTTTAAACTCACTTAACATTCGATTCTTTACCAACTGAACGAATTTCCTCCTGAGGTAGCCGCATGCTACAGTAATCCAACCTTGCCGGTTTTTATTCTTCCAAAGAAACTTTTAGGGTCTTTCCAAGCTGCTACAACCAGAACTGGTCTCAGTCTCCTACTGGGGACAGTGGCCACCCTTCAGCATCAATCCAGTGGCTTCTTCGCCTTGGTTCTTGGCTGGAGCTCCACATTGTGACTCCTGTTTCTCCCTTCTTCGTGAGAGAACCCAAACCATTTTCTAGTACATGAGAGGAGGGGTGGAAGGTACATTTTCTGAGACCTGGAACTTGTGGAAATGTGCAGTATGCCCTCTTCACACTGCCTTCGGCTTTCATGGCTGACTGCTTTTCTCTGGGCGATTATCCGACCTGAAGTTGATTTTGACGTGTGTTTATTTATAGCCACAGCTGAGAACCTTGATGGGTTCTTCCAATCTAGAAACTTCTATATTTCTGGTCTGTTTTGTTTTTCTTTATTAACTATTCATTCTTCTATGTCTTCTGTCCCTCTCACATGTTGATATTTCTGGGATGGATCTCTAATTTTGTGATCTTTTCTCTCTTATTTCCTTTGTGTCTTTGTACTGTACTTTGTGGGAGAGGCGAGAGACCTTACCTTCCAATAGATTTCATGTTTTTCATTTCTGCTTTCACACTTGTAATTGATAAAAGCTCTGATGTTTGTTCTCTGAATTTTTTTGAAGAGCCACTTCTTGTTTAATACCTGCAAAGACTCTTATCCGACTGAGAACACATTTTTGATGGAATTTTCATGTTTTCAGAGCCGTTGTTTATTCTGGGAAGTTTCTATTTATTTGATTGGATTTTGATGTTGATGTGATAAGACCTCCCTGGCTGATCATCTTGGCTTGTTTCTGAGCCAGCAGGAGGCCAATAACAAGCAGCGGGGCCTGTGGGTGAGGAGCTGGGCGCCCAGGTGTCAGGGACAACATGCGAAGTCACAATCTCTTCCACACTCAGTCGCATTCCCAGGGAACTCACCTGAGCTTCTTGCCCAGGTGACAAAGGCCCAGTGTCATTTTTCTCTGGCCCCAGCAAGAACGAGGAGAGCACTACTCCCTGGGGGTATATTTAGATAACCTTGCTCTTTGAACCACAGTATGCCAACCTGGCTCGGATAGAGGATCTTCAGGCAGACAGTCCATGTTTTTCTCCTTGGGGGACTAGCCTTTGTGCCCTGTCTGATCAAGAAAAGGCAGCCATTCTGAGATTCTGGGTGGGGAAGACCCCTGGCTTCTCCATACTTTGGAAAGGTTCCCAGCGAATCCACTGTATTTTACTTACCTTCTCATCTCCACCTCCTTTCTGTTGGCATTGGTGCCAATCCTCGAGCCTCTGGGGGAGCCTTTAGTGTCTATTACTCTAGACTCCCTTCCAGTGACAGCCTAAATTCAGGTTCTGGCATTCTAAGCCATGTCTCACCCCACACTTTCTCCCATTTAAGGCTGTGCTGTAGTCTCAATTCTGTTTTCCCCATCCTTACACATTTATCATCTCTCAAACATTTCCTCCTATCATTGGATTGGAATTTGGACAAGAGAAAATACACACACACACCAGAGCAGGAGAGCCCTGAACGCCCCAAACGCCCCTCAAGGGGCATTGCACTGCAGTCTGCACTGCCATCTGAAAAAGCTGCCCTTACCCTTACCCTTACCCTTCCAGACACTTCTAAACAAGGTCAGGATCAAACACTTCCTGGCTGCAGATGGCGCTGTCCCCACTCTGTCTCTCCCCCCTCCACCCCCACCCCGGCCGGCCGGCAGCAGCGGTTACCTGTGGATGATGTGGTACCGCTGGAGGTACTCCAGGGCCAGGGCCAGCTCACAGATGTACAGCTTCACAGCCCCCTCGGTGAAGCGCACGTTCTGCTGCAGGTGGTAACGCAGGTCCCCGCCCAGCAGCAGGTCCACCACCATGAACATGTCCTCCTCGTCCTGGAAGGAGTACCTGGGAGCACACGGGGGAGCAGAGGTCAGCACGGAGGCACCTGTGCCCTCCACAAGACCAAGGGCAAACTGAGGCCCACGCTGCCTCTGCCAGGGTGCTGCGAGACTAGAAAGGCCAGGAGACTTTCCAATCCCACGGGGCCTCCGCACGGCTGGGGCCTCCTCACTCTGTGTGAGCCAGCGTGATGCGTCCACTGTGGTTAGTGGATGCTTTAATAATTCCTCGTTGCTGTAATCCCCCTGGAGGCCCGGTGTTGAAGGTTTAGTCTCCAGAGGGGGCGGGGGCGGGGCAGGGGGTGGTGGTATGCCCTTGAAGGGGTTGTGGGAGCTGGCTCTTCCTGTCTGCTTTGTTTCCCAGCCACAGAGAGATGGACAGACATTCTCTGTCTACCACAAGTCCAAAGCTGCCAGGCCAAGTGACTGTACAGAAACCTCTGAAACCACGAACCAAAGCAAACTTTGCCTCTTTTTTTTTTGTCAGTCGTGGGGCTTGAACTCTGGGCCTGGGCGCTGTCCCTCAGCGCTTCAGCTCAAGGCGAGCGCTCTACCACTTGAGCCACAGCTCCGCTTTCAGTTTTCTGGTGGTTTATTGGAGATAAGAGTCTCATGGTCTTTCCTGCCCATGCTGGCTGGCTTTGAACCATGGTAATCTTCATATCTCAGTCTCCTGAGTAGTTAGGATAACAGGTGTGAGCTACCGGTGCCCGGCAACTTTTCCTCTTTTTATGTTCATTAATTTGAGTATGTTGTTGCAATGATGGAAGGTAGATTTGAGCTCACCAGTGTCTAGCCGTGTATACACACGCCCAACGCTTCCTGTGCTCACAGCACCTCCCGCAGCTCCTGCAAGGAGCTCATTTTCAAATACCCGGAAGGCAAGGCTGCTTGGGACGTCCCAATCCAGGAGGTAAGGGAACCCTCTGGTTTTCTGGGAACCCTCTCAGGAAACCAGCAATACCCAGCCACCTTGAGCTGCCCGGGTTTAGCTAATGCTACCCAGAGCAGTGCTGCCCAGCTGGGCACAGTTGGCCCACAGAATGGGAGATAAAAATATTTTTATTTTTTTTAAAACACTAACTTAGAGGATGGCATTTTTTTGGGGGGAGGTCTGATTGTGGGGCCTGAACTCTGGGCCTGGGCGCTGTCCCTCAGCTCTTCAGCACAAGGCTAGTGCTCTACCACTTGAGCCACAGCGCCACTTCTGGCTTTTTTCTTATGTGGTGCTGAGGAATCGAACCCAGGGCCTCAGGCATGCAAGGCAAGCGCTCTACCACTGAGCCACCTTCCCAGCCCAGTATTTTTCTTTTGTATTTGTTTTTGAAGCAATGGATACCTGATAAAGTATTGAACCTATCAAATTTGGACTTCCTAAGGCATGGGAATCAGTGCACTGACTCTGAGAATGTGGTTGAGCGATTGTAATCCTGACATCACAAATGTTGCCAAGTTCCTACAGGGCCATGTCATGTGATTATGAAGCTGCAGAACACCTTCAGGGCCACCTGACAACTGTGCCTGAGATCTCTGAACATCAGAGCTGAAGAAGCCAGGCCGCTCCTCCCGTTTAGCAGAAGAGAGGACCGAGTGAGGCAGTGCTGGCAGGGGGGACAGGAACCCCAGTGTTCCAGCAGCTACACAAATGGGGTGTTGCTGCAGTGAACACATGCTGCTGCAGGACCGGGAGGACAGCCCTGAGGAAGAGCCAGCTGTGTGAATCTAGAACTGGAAGAACCTTAAATGCCTTTGAGCTCCCAAAGCCTGTACTACAAGGATGGGAAAGCAGCATGGGAAGGAACTCCAGTCCTCCTGTACATCTGCTCTGCTGTCAATAATGGTCCAGAATCAGGCAAGAAAGAGAAGGATGCTTATTGGGCCTCTTTATCGTGAATCTGCCAGCTGTGCACAGAGCTCCTGGCACCTGCTGGAGGGTAGGATAAAGAAATGAGCTCATCCTTGTATTAAAGGAGCTCATGGTCCTTCAAAGGGGGCCCAGCAAACTCCCTGGCTGACAGTGCAGAGGTGAAGCCAAGACCTCCTTTAGGGGCTCGGGGGGTCGGGTGGGAATGGGGTGTGGGAGGGTGCTCCGTGCAGCATCGGCTGCTCCAGGCATTGCGGCTTTCCTGGGACCTCAAGGGGTCCCTTAACTCCTGCATTGGGTGTCTCGAGCATCATCTGGTGGCTTAGCCCTCCCCTGTCCTTGTAAAGCCAGGAAAGCCCCCCTCCCACCTCCATGATCTTATCTGGTCCTAATGACTTCCCAACAGCCCCACCTCCAATGACCCCCAAGTCTTCAGGGACACAGCATCCCACATGTGAGCTCTGGGGCACACATTCACAGACAGACAGCAGGACTGAGCCACCGGGTACCTCTTTCTGTGTGTGTGTATTACTGTGAGGAAAAGAGTTTCAGTGACTCCCAAAGAAACCACGGCTCCAACGCTGCCTCACACAGGTGCTCACTTGATATTTTCATAGGTGGAGAACCATGCACTCCACACACTCTTGGCAGCTAGCCTGCCAGAGGGGAATCTCATTCAATATTCCACCAGAGCTCTGCAGGAGCAACATGAACTTTCAGGAGGAACACTTGTAGGCTGGAGTGAATTTGAGAGAGGAAAAGCAAAGTGCACAGCATTCAAGCAGTGATTCAGGTTCTGGTCTTTTCTTGCAGAAGACCCATACTTTCCCCTGGATGGTGGACCTTCCAATGCCCTGGAGACCTGGTATGACTGCAGACCAGGCTGAGGCTTCTTATTGATCTCCCCATGGCTTCGCGCCATCCCACAGCTTTGTGCCAGCGCCCTTTCACTCCCTTCCTGCTAGAATTCAAATTATGTTGTCCACATGGCTGTGCTCGCTGGCATGAGAATGATGATGCTAGCAGATGAGAAAGCCCTGCCCCAGTGTGGGATCCACGAAGGTAGTCTAGAGACAGGGCAATATCAGAGCTCTGTCTGCTCAATCAGAAACATGGAGCTCTAATCAGGAAATCTAGCTTGAGAGTGGACACCAAGCAAAGGCCAGCTGTCCAAGCATAGTCCCAATCAGGAAATATCAAAATTTATATCTTAGAGAAAGAAAAAGCAACAAAAATTACTAAGTCCATGGAACAAGGTCTCCAGCAGCGAGGCACAGCCCCTGGTGTGGATTCCACTCAGCCCACCACTGGGTGCAGAGCCCCACTTGGGGCGACCTGACGTGCTGGCCTTCCTGCTGGCCATGGCTGATCGCCACGCCAGTCTTAGACATGACAGATGAACACAACTGCATTGTGACACAGAAAACTACTTCACAGGGGAATCTGGGAAAGGAGAGCACATTGACACCAAACACTGTGAATCACACGCTTGCCATCCCCAAAGTGACCTGCAAGAAGGCTGGGGGAGGAACTGGGCTCCAGGCTTAGAACAGGCATAGGATATAGGAAAGCAGGGGAGGGAGCAGAAACGAGAGAGAAAATTCTGAGCCCAGAACTGCACTGATTTCAGCCACACCAGTAACTGAGGACTCAGCCTTCTGCCAGTCCCCAGACTCAGAAGGATAATGCATCCACCTAAGCCCCACACCAATAAGGACAAGAACTGATACAGTCAGGAACCAAAGGGCAGTGCTCCAAACAGAGTCCCACCCCAAACTCAGGCCCCGGTGCTGACTGGACGTCTGGCCTCCAGAGGAGCTCCAACAGGGACAGGGGCCAAACAGTGCTCCAAACAAGAGACCATAACCCAAATGAGCTTCCAGCCTCCAGCCCTGCACCACACACAGGGACACAAATCAAAGAGCAGTGCCCATGTCCAGAGGCCTGTCTGAGTCACACCAGTGAACTAGACACTGACCCCAGCTGGGTTCCACACAGGCAGGAGCAGATCCCAAGGGCCTAGTTTTCACCCAGCAGGGGCCTACCCCTAAATAAGCAGAACTTTAATCCTATAAACATAAAGCAAGACTAAAAGAATAGGAAAAGTGAACAAAGGTGGCTGCCTATATGTTGGCTTTCAATCATTCTAGTCTGGGATAAGATACCAAAGCTGACATACACTCAACATCAGTAGAAAGGTATGTAACCCATCAAAATACCAACTGCCTATTTAACCAAAACCAGAGAATAACCCACTTAGGAAGATCTCAGGTACCCAAAATCAATACCAATAAGATCTTCAAATGGGCAGAGCCCATCCCAGAAATTCAAGAAACATGAGAAATCAAAGAAACACAACACTCCCCCCAAATCACAACTGTTCAACAATATGTCAGAAAGACAATGATCTAGAGGAAAGCATACATAGGGCTAACAGACCTCCTGATAAAGATTTGTCTATAAAAAGATACAAAACCTCTACAAGATACTCGGTGAAGGCAACGCCACTACCCAAAGAATAATGGGAGAATTCATGAAGATCACGAAGAGCTAAATGAATTTCAAAAGATGGCAAAGGAATCTAATGAAAAAACAGCCACTCAGTTAAGAGATGAAGCAAGGTACAGATAAATCAATGAATCAAAGAAATCAATACAAGACCTTAAAAAAAGGCTTCAATAAAGAGAAACCCTAAAAAATACACAAAGGCAGAGAAATAAAAACCTCTCCAGCAGAATAGATGAAATAGAAAACAGAGTCTTGAGGTTTGAAGACAAAAGGGGCAGGGGAAGCAGGTAACCATATGAAAATACAAGCAACAGGAAAAGAATTTACAAGAAGAACTTTAGGACTCAATCAGAAGACAATTTGTAGCTGATAAGAATCAAGGAAGCGGCTGGGAAGGTGGCTCAGTGGTAGAGTGCTTGCCTTGCACGTATGAGGCCCTGGGTTCGATTCCTCAGCACCACATAAGCAGGAAAAGCAGGAAGTGGCGCTGTGACTCAAGTGGTAGAACACTAGCATTAAGCTGAAGAACTGAGGGGCAGTACCCAGGCCGAGTTCAGTCCCTATGACCCCCCCCCCCACACACAAAATAAGCAAGGAAGAAGAGCAGATGACTAAGGCTATAGAAAATATATTTA